TTTTTGGGTTTTAGTGTGTGACTGGTCTCTACATTGTCTCGAACTGCAATTCTTGGGCTATTTTCTTTCTTATTATTATTATTATTATTATTATTATTATTATTATTATTATTATTATTATTATTTTACATAGATGCCTTTTTAGGTCGCATAAAGGATACTTAAATAGCCTGTTTGGTTTGCATTGGCCCCGGAAAAATTTTCCAGAGAAACCATAAGCCTCCCAAATGTCAGGTTGGTTCAGGAAGTTTTAATTTCTGGACGAATTATAGCTTATAAATATTTCAAACTGATTGGAAAGGCTTCCCAAGGAAAGGAATATAGGCTATAGCCAACTATTATTCAAATATAATCTAGGTATCAATCTCAGAAGGACCAGGAATCAATATCGAGGCATTGTAAGTGACTGTATGCTATATATCTGTATACTACAGACTTTGCGTTATAACCAATTTTAAGCACATTTTACTATATATGAGTTTATATATTCAGCTTAGCTTGATTTAACTTCTTAAAATTAATTTCTTAAAATAAAAATGTTGCCTAACCTAACATGCCTAATGTCTTTTTGACGCTAGACTATATTTTAAATTGCAATGGATGAATGTGTTTCGCTTGACATCCTATGTTTGTTTATTAATATTAAATTTATAATTAGTTTTTTTTTTTGCCGAATATGATTATTTTGTTAACAAAAAAAGAAAAAAGAAAAAAGAAAAAAAAACATTGTGAGAATTGCAGCCAAATCTTTGTAAGTTTTCGTGGTAAAGCTTGCAATATGCTGAGTCATGTATATTATGTTAAAATCAAGCATAATATAATCACCCCCAATAAAAAATCATGATACAATCAAGCATATCCACAAGTTTATCCAAATTAAGTCGGGATAAAAAATTAACGAAAGTTACAAACATAGCATAGAGAAAAAGGGAAGGGAACAAGAACTGTAAATAATTGAAGGGAGGAAGAAACATTAAAACATATTCATAGATTCAACATGTCCATGCCAATAACATGAAAATATTTATTGCGGACCTACATGCTAAAGCCAAAACGAAAAGCCTACAAATTAATTAATGAAACTCATGGGTTTCTCTTGACTACTGATATATCCAACCTTACTACCCAACGGTACACCATTTCCTTGCTTGTTTTTGGTTCTTTCCCCTACCCTTCTAATTGCTAATTAATACCCAAAAACAAGCATGGAAATAGCAATCGCCCTTAACTAATCAAACAAAAAAGAACAAAACAAGAAATTAAACCACAAGTTCTGATCCCTTGCGTTGCGACGACAATGGTCTCATGTTGTGTCGAGACCTACATGTTTTCTAGCTCGAAGAAATGAGAGGACAAAAGGCAGCGAAAACTCCAATACCAAAAAAGAAGCAAAATCATGGCAAATATTAATGACGGAATATAAACAAATGCATCAACTTTGTCCTCGTTCTTCATGATTAGTTGTGAAGAGGGTTTGGTCCGGAGGGGACTAGTCTCTTTTCCACACCGTATCTTGGATCAATCTCCTTTAGTGATGGCGGTGGCGGTGGTGGTGGCGGCGGAGAGAAATATCCGCGTTTTTGGATTCCTTGGAGTTGGAAACACAATGAACGTGGGTTTGCATGGGGGAAAGAAGAGCATGAATGGTGGCGAAGCAAGAGGCTGGGGATATGGTTTCTTGGAGGCGATGTTAGATTCTTGGGCCGGGTTGTAGAAGCTAATGAGGGGAAGAGGACGATGAGGAAGAGGAGTAGGCTGATGAGAAGCCTGCAGTGGTCGGATATGATGGTTGAAAAGGAAGAGCTCTTCATGGTTTGTGCTTGTTGAATAGAAAGCAGCACAGGGAGAGGAGAAAGATGGGACAAAGATGGCGTTTTATTAACGATGAGTAAGATGCACAGCAGTTCATCAGGACAGGAAGGGAAGAAAAAAAAAGGGATTATATATATATCAACAGTTGAAATTAAATTAGAGAGATAAATAATTAAAATTTTGTATATGTGTGGTATGAAAATTTGTGTGTAAATGAATCTCTATATATATATATATATCAAAAAAGTGTTTTATAGGGTGAATTGTGCATTAAAAGTGTGGACCACTCTATGAATTTACTTAAATACTTTTAACAAAACTACTTTTTATACTATTTTATTAAGGGTATGTCAATAAATTTATAGAGCAAACTACATTTTTAATATATAGTCCATCCTGTAAAACTTGAATCTCTCCCTCTCTCTCTCTCTATATATATATGTGTGTGTGTGTGTAGAGAATGATTGATACATCCTCTGGTTCGATACACTTTTTGACACATCACTAGTTAAACCATTAAAACATATTATAAGTAGCCAATTTAGCTAGTTTCTACAACTTGTATGCATGGTTGTAGTTTTTAGTTTATCTCCTTTTAATTTCAGGCAAGAAAGTAATGATTTTTTAATGAATGTATTATAATATATGTTAACTAAAGGGTGTGTCAATTAATGTCCTTATAGAAGAATGAAAATAGTGCATCTCAGTTTGATTCTCATTAAAAAAAAACTAGTCTTAAATTTAAAAACACCATATTTCAATGAATATAATCAAAAATTGATCAATAGATTTAGTGTTTTATTGATATAAATCATGCTTGTGAATTTATAAGTTAATCTAATATTTATAACCATTTGTTGAAGAAACTTATATTTTGGAACATATATTTAATGGTGTTAAATTTTGTAAATCAATGAACTATTTAGATTATTCAATCAATTTGAAAATTAACATGTATGAACACTAAATGCAAAGGTCAACTTTTGAAAATATTCATTGAAAATCATATTTTTGAAGTTGGTACTCTATTTTTTTAATAGAAGTTAGAATTGATAAGTATTATTCTACACAAACACACACATAACCTCATGGTGCTTGGCTTTCACGGCAAGCTCCCCATGATTCATGGATGATGAGCTTAGCTTCCTTTAAAGTCCCTTATTGTAACAAGAACTTAGCTTCAGAATGCATTAATTCCCTCCCATGATATAAGGTTTAGCAGGAAAGTGAGCTATCTCTTAAGAATTGTTTGTTAGTGAAGTCAAGTGCAAGGAGCTAGTAAAATGAAAATTACCCTTTAACAAGGTATTGGTAGAGACTTCTATTGTTGTGGGGTGTCATCTCCAAAGGAAATCACATTTCCTTACTCTTCAAGCAATCGGACTTTCCCAAGAATGGACCCCAATTCATCCACAGCCAAATCGACAATCCTAACTTAGAAATAATTGAATCATGTTGTTCCTCATAGAAAAAAATGGAAATAAAGTTAAGGAAAGATTAATTAAAGATGAAAAGTAGAATAATGTCATTGAAAGTGAGAGGAGCTTGAGGTGAGGCATGGATCAATCACTCTTCTTAGGAGATTTTGTGCCACTAGTGTAACGATGTTTCTCACGGTCATGCCACCCCCAAGATACAATAGTCCAACCCTTTCCTCATTATAACTTTATAAGTTTTACACTTTTGTAAAGTAAGCTCTACTCCACCACCTTCTCTTGCCTAAGGGAGTTTGAGCACAAAATACTATATAGGTGGAAAGAGAGTACAAAGAAGTCTATCATGCAAAAGTAGAGGCCTATTGGTAAGTCAACCGAAAAATATGAATTCATTTGGAGTGGCTAATTAAAAGGAATATTGTTTGAGTTCAAAAAGTTTGAATGAAACGGCTAATTACATTATGTAGTTGGTTAGCAAATATAGATTTGTAACTGATGAAGATTTGACAAATTTAATTTTTAAATGTTTCAAGAAATGGATTTGTAACCAACAAGTATTGGACAAATGATTTACAATATTTTTAAGGGTAAATGATAAATTTGGTCCCTCAACTTTATTGAGTTGCACTTTTTTGGTCCCTCAACAATTTTTTGAACTTTTTTGATCCCTCAACTCTAAGAAATACACAACGTTAGTCCTTCTATCTATTTGAACGTTAACTCTGCCCATATGACACTTTTTATATTTTTTTTTGATGATATGGATAATCCAACTGGAAAAAAATGATGACATGGATTGTCTAACTAGAACAAATGATGACATGGAGATAAATTTGTATATTTTTAGTAAAAAAATAGAAAAAACCTCTCCACCTGTTTTCTTCCCCCTCTTTCTTCCTCTTTCTTTCTCTTTCTTCTTCCCCCTCCTACTGCCTCCTCTGCTGACCGAACCCTGCCAAGCTAGGATCCTCCCCCCTCTCTCTTCTTCCCCCTCTTGCTTTCTCTTTCTTCCTCCTTTTGCTGCGACCCGCCAAACCTTCTTCACCCTCTTTCTTTCTTCCTCCTTCGTAGAACCTGAATTCAAGGAACCCAGCAATGGAACCCAATAACAAACCCAGTTCTGGGTTCCATGGAACCCAGCAACATGAGCTCAAGGAACCTAAATTTCTGGGTTTTCAAACCCATGTTTATAGATTTTTTTTGTTTAGTAACTCTAGCAATTTCTATGCATATATTGAACCCTTTTGTTTGATGGATTTTTGTTTCAAATATTGTGGTTGTGGGATGGTAATTTAGTATTATGAATGCTGTAAAATTTTGTTTGTATGTTTTGATTTGGCTATTTCTCTTGTGAGTATATGATCATTAAGCTAGATTGAAGTAGTATGAATTTTTAAGGTTTTGATTTTGTTTTGAGAAAGCAAGAGGGGAAGAAGAGAAAGAGGGGGGAGAAGGTTTGGTGGATCCCAGCTTTGCTGGGTTTAGTTAGCAAAGGAGGAAAAAAGAGAAAAAGAGAGGAGAAAGAAGATAGGTCGAAGAGGTTTTCTTATTTTTTTATTAAAAATATAAAAATTTATCTTCATGTCATCATTTTTTTTAGTTGGACGATCCATCTCATCATTTTTTTTTCCAGTTGGACTATCCATATCATAAAAAAATATAAAAAATGTCACATGGGCGGGGTTAACGGCTCAAATTGACGGGAAGACTAATGTTGTGCATTTCTTAGAGTTGAGGAATCAAAAAAGTGCAAAATATTGTTGAGGGACCAAAAATGTGCAATTCATAAAGTTAAGGGACCAAATTTAGCATTTAACCTATTTTTTAACTAAAATTTACAACATTCCTCCATTTTAATTAAAGGGATTAAATTTTAAAAGATAAAAAATATAGGTAAGGACAAACCATTATGCATAGTAGAGGTAGCAATGCCCTGAATTTTATATAGTGAGTCAATAATTCTTGTTCTAGAGTTTATAGTGAACAATGTCTTGAAGTGGGACTACGCAAAAGGATTTAGGAAACCATTTCACACACATTATAGTCCAAGTGTCAATTTTGAGGTTAGTAAGTCAGTACATTACAGTCTTTGTGTCTAATCCTAGTATTCATGGATGACCTAGAGAATAGCCTTATTCTCATAGGAGCAGCCCCACTCCGACATCCATATAGGTGAAATTTGTCAAAAGTTTTCCCATAAGGCTTGATCATTGAGTGGGGTATCCTCATAGGAAGTTCTGCACTCTTTGGGCTTTAATCTCATTCCCTTCGATGTAATCCAAATCTTCTCTCTAACTAGAGCTTTTTGTAAATGGATCAACAATATTTTCACTTGATTGTATATAATCCACTTGGATTATGCCATTATTAAAGTAAGACCTCACAATGCTATGTTTCCTTTGAATAAATCTAGATTTCTTGTTCTAAAGATGGTTATTCACTTTGTAAATGGTAGTGGTACTGTCATAGTGAATAACTATAGAAGGCACTAGTTTTTTTTTTCATAAAGAAATTCCAAACAAGTTTCTTAGCCAACTAGCTTCCTTGTAAGCCAATGCTAATAATATCATCTCTACTTCCATAATTGACTTTGAAATTATTTGTTGTTTTTTAGATTTCCAACTCACAATACCATTGCCCATCTTAAAAATGTATCCTATAATAGATAAAGAATCACCTGAAAAGTTGTTCCAATCAACATTACAAAATCCTTCTAGTAAGTTATTTTATTATAAAATAAATCATGATTTTTGGTAGTACATAAATATCATATTAAGTGTTTAACACAATCCCAATGAAAGGAATTAGACTTGTTAGTATCTTCCAAAAATTTAAACTACATAAAAAATATCAAGTCTTATGCAATTAGTAAGATACCATAAATTATCAATGATATGAGCATATTCCTTTTGATTAAGAATATCTTTCTCATTCGAAGTGGAATGTAAGTGCAATTGGATGATAAAGCTGTCATTACATTTCTAAAATTATAATAATTGTACTTTTTCAATATTTTTTCTATATAATGGCACTAGTCAAGAAAAATTCCATTATCATTTCTAGTTATTTTTATGCCAAGGATCACATTCGCTTCACCCAAATCCTTCATGTTAAAATGCTTATTTAGCAATGACTTAGTAGTGTTAAATCATGTCTAAGTTTGAACCAAACATATGATAACATGACAAATTTGAAAAATACAAAGTAAATGCATTTATCAATTTCACTTGGTTTAAAATCGTTTTCTATCAAGAAAGTATCAAATTTCTCGTGTAATTGTTTTGGGGTTTGTTTCTAACCTTAAAGATATTTAGTCAATTTATATGCCTCATCCTCTTGGCCAAGTATAATAAAACCTTAAAGTCGATCCATGTAAATCTCTTCATGCATGTCTCCACTTAAAAATGTCATTTTAGTATCCATTTGATGGATGAGCATATTATGAATGGTGGCTACAGTTATGAGTATTCTAATGGAAGTCACTCTTGTTACAAGTGAAAAAGTCTAGTTCCTCCTTTTGTTTAACACCTTTTGCAATAAGTCTTACTTTATATTTTTCTATAGTTCCATCCCCCCCCTCCTTTTTTTTTCTCGAAATCCATTTATATCCTATTGTTTTACAAGCAAAGGTATATCCACTAATTTCCAAGTTCTATTAGAAATCAAGGA